TACACTACCAAATGTAAAATAGCTAGTGGGAAGTAGCCGCATAGCACAGGGAGATCAGCTCGGTGCTTTGTGACCACCTAGAGGGGTGGGATAAGGAGGGTGGGAGGGAGGGAGCCGCAAGAGGGAGGAGATATGGGAACATATGTATATGTATAGCTGATTCACTTTGTTATACAGCAGAAACTAACACACCGTTGTAAAGCAATTATACTCCAATAAAGATGTTAAAAAAAAAGTAACAGAATCCCTAAGGATGGTTGAAACTAAAAAAGTCATTTATTGCTCACTTAACAAAAAGGCCAGAGGCAGGTGTACTCAGGGTTGTTCCAGCAACTTAATGTTATCAAAGATAGGGTTTCATTTATCCTCCTCCTCTGTAATTCTTGGTGTATTGTCTTTTTGCCCTGTGGTTATCACCTCAGGGTTGCCAAAGATGACAATAGCTCCAAGCATCACATGACACGTCAAGGCAGGAAGAGAAATTTTAGTTCTAGTCATCTCTGTTGGAAACAGGAAGAAAGGGTACTGGAGAGTAGGGAGGTTTTTGTTTTTATATATTTTTAATTTTAAAAAATCATTTATTTATTTGACTGCCTTGGGTCTTAGTTGCGGCACATAGGATCTTCGTTGTGGTGCACGGGCCTCTCTCTAGTTGTGGCACGCGGGCTCCAGAGCATGTGGGCTTAGTTGCCCCAAGGCATGTGGGATCTTAGTTCCCCGACCAGGGATGGAACCCACGTCCCCTGCATTGGAAGGCGGAATCTTAACCACTGGACCACCAGGGAAGTTCCTATATTTTAAATTAAAAAACAATTTTTTTATGAGATAAAGTAAAAGAAGAAATATGTTATTGGCCCTGGATTTTTGCACGTAGTGTTCCTTCTGCCTGGCATCCATGGTCTCTTGAACCCTTTCCACATATTATATCTCAGTGCCTCATTATAGTACCTGGCACATAGGAAGTAGTAAATATTTTTGAAAGGAAAGCAGGCAGAGCAAAAATAGAGGCAGTTGAACACAACAGGCAGTTAATCTCCTTAAAACATATTGTCTAGGGGCTTTCCTGGTGGCACAGTGGTTAAGAATCTGTCTGCCAATGCAGGGGTCACGGGTTCGAGCCCTGGTCCAGGAAGATCCCACATACCACGGAGCAACTAAGCCCATGGGCCACAACTACTGAGTCTGCGCTCTAGAGCCCGTGAGCCACAACTAGTGTGCCCGTGTGCCACAACTACTGAAGCCTGCGTACCTAGAGCCCATGCTCCTAAGCCAGAGAAGCCACCACAATGAGAAGCCTGCACACCCCATCAAAGAGTAGCCCCCGCTCACCACAACTGGAGAAAGCAGGTGTGCAGCAACGAAGACCCAACGAAGCCAAAAATAAATACATTTTAAAAAACATATTGTCTAAAATCAGGGGAGGTAAGTAATAAGGCAATTACAATACAGAATGGTAAGTGCTAAGATAGTATTAATTATAAGACGCTATGGGAGAACACAGGAGTCAGAGAAGACAGCTCGGAAAGAGTGATTGGGAACTTCCCTTTGATCCAGTGGTTAAGACTCTGTGCTTCTAATGCAGGAGGCGGGTGTTCCATCCCTGGTCAGGGAACTAGGATCCCACATGCCCTGCGGCATGGCCAAAAAAAAAAAAGTTGAGAAAAAAAAAGAAAGAGTGATTATTTAAACTGAGATCCAAAGGATGGTAGAAATAACCAAACCCAGAGGGAAAAAAGTCTCTTGGTTTGGACTATAATTGCCACAAAGTAAAAAAATATATAATCCTCTTTGAGGGAGAAAGACCTTGAAGAGATTCTAGGGAGGAAAAAAAGAGGGGGAGGATGGCAAATAGTAACGGATCATGTAGTGCCCGTTATTACTAATTAAAGGTGTCTTAAAAGTAGGTTTAGTGAAAAATAGAAAAGAATCCAAGTCTTCAATTCTTCTATTTGCTATAATGTCTTATTAAAGCTTTTCACTGTTTTCAGCATCTCCTACTCTGAAAGTTTTCAAACATCTAACTCTATAACTCAGAAGCTCCTAATACATATTTTGTATCTAATATCATGTAAAAATGGAAGTTTTGGCAAAGCCCAATAGAAGGGTTGCCAGATTAAATACAGGGTGCCTAGTCAAATTTGAACTTCAGATAAATAATAAATAATTTTTTACAATTACATGGACCATACTTATACTAAATCACTTGCTGTTTATCTGAAATTAAAATTTAACTGGGTGTCCTACCTTTTTATTTGCTAAATCTGGCAACCCTAACGATGGATACCAAATTCCGAAGAGAAGTGGTAGACTAGGATTTACAAAGAAATTAACTCTTAATCTTTTAACTCACTCTGAGGGTATGAGATGGTCAAGGAGAAGAGGATTTTGAGAGTGCTTCTACCCTTCCTCCACTCCAAGAACTTAACACGAGTCTCCAGTTTGGAGGCCCAGTAGACAAGGGTCTGATTCCATACCTGAAAAAAAAACCATACCTGACTGACTGGCTAGCTGCTCTAATGGCAGAAACAAAGAAAAAGCTGCTGCTGCATTGGGATAGGCCTTCAGCCTCAGAGTTTATCTGGACAAAGGAGGCTCAAGTGTTTCCTATAGATTAGATGAGGACCACACATACATATATACCCAGGAGAGATGACATAGGGCTGTCATGTATTCTGTCCAGGAGAACTGCCTTAATATGCAAACACATCTCAGCAGAGAGAAGCTGGGGGTATCACACATGCAAACAACCAGTTGGAATAGAAATGTATCTGCCATGATGAAGAAATCTGCAGGGAATTCCCTGGCTGCCCAGTGGTTAGGACTCCGCACTCTCACTGCCAAGGGCCCGGGTTCCATCCCTGGTCAGGGAACTAAGATCCCACAAGCCGTGGGGTGTGGCCAAAAAGAAAAAAACATGCAGAAGACATCTGCAGATGAGTGATCTCCAGTGATGATGATCACCAAGGAACTCACCAAGTACTCCCATGAAAGAGTCATCTTCAAAAATCTGTCACATCCAGGAAGCGATGATGTGAGAAAATGCAACAGTGGTAGTCAGTAAGAACTTTCTCTTTCCCTTTCCCTCTCCTCCCTTCTCAGAACTGTAATCCATAAGAGGTCCAATACCAGCAAGCTGGAAAAGTTGGAACAAAAGCAGTAGGGCCACAAGAGAGAAAATAAGCTGTTCATGTCCTCCTTCCCTGACTGTTAAGTTGCAATAGTCTAAACTGGAAGAGAGGAGAACTTTAAAAGAAAATTAAAGCTCTATTATACATGGTTCTGGACATTTTAATTACCGACTAGATAAACTTACATTATTGAAAAGTTGCCAGAAATGGGGACTTCCCTGGTGGTCCAGTGGTAAAGAATCCATCTTCCAATGCAGGGGACACGAGTTCGATCCCTGGTCGGGGAATTAAGATCCCACATGCTGCGGGGCAACTGAGCATGCACACCACAACTACTGAGCCTGAGTGCCTCAACTAGAGAGGCCGTGTGCCCGCAAACTACAGAGCCCACGCTCTCTGGAGCCCACACGCCCCAGCAAAAGATCCCGCATGCCACAACGAAGATCCCACCTGCCCCAGCTAAGAATAAATTGTAGCCAAGAATAAAATAAATAAATAAATATTTTAAAAATACTATATAAAAAAAAAGTTACCAGAAATGTCATGGAACCATCTAGGTTTTCATCTAGAGGTAGGGTGAGAACTAGCTTCACTGAATAAATGTAAAGGGATGTAAAATCACTTTGGAAAATAGCTAAGCCATTTCTTATAAAGTAAATATACACTTACCATACAACCCAGCAATCCCACACCTGGGTGTTTTTCTAGGAGAAGTGAAAACTTACATTCACCCCAAAACCTGTATATGAATTTTTATAGCAGTTTTATTCATAAGTGCCAAAAACTGGAAACAACTCAGATGTCTTTGACCTGGTGAATGGATAAAGTAATATGGTGTAACCATACAGTGGAATAATACTAGTCAGGAAGTAAAAGGAAATGAATTACTGATACATGTAACAGCATGGATGAATCACATGAATTATGCCAAGTGGAAAAAGCCAGATTCAAAAGATTACATACTGTATACTTCCATTTATATGACATTCTGGAAAAGAGAAAACTATAGGGACTGCAAGCAGATTAATGCTTGCCATAACTATGCACTTGTCAAGACTCAGAACTGTACCCTAAAGAGGTTAAATGTATATACATTATACCTTAAAAAAAAAAATCTATGGGAAGCTCCTTGATTCTGAGTACTTCCAAACAGTAAATTGGAAGTAGGAGTCTCACTAACTTTGTAGGATTTAGCATGAGTAAGAAGTGAATAGTTAGGTCAGTAGTATATCTAATAGTTGAAGCTAGCTGTGGAATGGAGATAAAGGAAATATTATTCAAAGAAAAATTTATACATCTTGTCCCAAGCACTATAGGCATTAAATTAGCAATGTTATCTCTCCAAATAACCTAAGTTAATTAATTTAATTACTCAAAAAATGTAAGGGAAAATGGGAGACAAAAAGAAAGCTGCTTTCTGATTATAACCTATAACTTAGGAGTCATACTTACTCAACTTAATGGTTACATTTGATTTGGTTACTTTTCTTCATGAACACTTGTGCTCATGGTATATGATTTTATATTGTATACATTATATAATATTTTTGCTATTACTTTACTTTATTATAGAATTTTAAGTGTCTTATTTCATGGTGTCTGCTACCTAAACAAATTGATGAGTTAACACTATTTCTTCTTACCCCAGGACTTGGATTTCACCAGAATAAATCAGACTGCTCCCACAAACTCTTTCAGGTTACAAAAGTTCCATTTCTAAATTCTTAGCTTAGAACATTAAATAATCCTCTTACTTGAGAGAGGTAATGGAGACTCCAAAACTCTTCACTTCCACTAGAATGGTTTCCAATAGTTTCAGTGAAAATCTGGTTTAACAGAATTTGGAAATGTGGAACCACATGACCACCTTACCTGTTCTCTCCGAGTCTCTTCGGTGCATCCTGGGTTACAAGCACTGAATTTACTTCAAATTTGGCCTAGATATGACAACTGCATTTAAGGTCATGTTACTGAACCATGAAGTGGGCGAAAGCATTCTACTACGGTCTTTCTGGTTCTTCCAGTAATAAATCCCTAAGGGTGGAATTCAAAGTGGACCTATCTAGAGTTAGATTAGGTTTCATGGTATTATAACTGCTTTTTGTCTGTTTGTTTGTTTGTTTATATTATTCCAGTAGTGACATCTATAGGCCTATGAAGAGAAACACTAAAAGACTAACGTTGAATTTACCTGTACTATTTTATGGCCGGTGTGAGTCTGACCTCACACCAAAAAACTACTTTTGGCAACTCCCTGGTGCTGTAAGAGAAAGTCAGGTTAGGGAAACAAAAGGTACGTGACCAAAGGCCCAATCACCAGAGTGCTCCCTCCCAGTCCTTAACTTACTTTGGTTGAATGCACGTAAGAGATCTTCGGAACGTAGAGTGAACATCTAACTGGAGCAGCATAGGAATATCTGGGTACCCACCCAGCTGGGCCCAGAGTGAATACATTGATGTCTTCTCTGTTATTGGGTAACTTGAAGTGGGTAGATCAGCATTCCAGATGGCTTCCATTTGGTCTTCTTGTCTAGAGAATCAGAGAACAAGCACCATTTGGAAGCATCAAACTCTCCTGAACTCCATAGCCATTCAAAAGATATAATTCCTATTCTCGCCCCTTCTCTTCACCACCACCGTGTCCTATAAAGCCCCCCTGGCACCAAGGAACATTAGCTATGCCCACTTTGACTGAGAGATGGATTAAAACAGCAGAATTTGCAGAAATAACGTTTTTTCCCCCTGAAAGTTGCATTTCCATGACTTCACCTACTAATACGTTTTAAAATGACTTTCTTAGCTTCATGGAGTATACACTCCATATGCAGGCTATGTTTCCCCCACAGCAGTCTTTTCCCCTTCCTTCCCAAAGTTTCTACCTTCTTAAAAAAAAAAAAAAAAAGTAAAGCTTCTAAGTTTTTTCACTTTGTGTATTAAAATAATTTGTTTCTTCGTAAGGAAGATTCAACTTCATTTTTTTTAAGGAACTCAAAATTAGTTATTAAATATTTAAGTAGAAATAAGCCTTTTGCTAAATTAGCTAAGAAAATTAATATTCTCCACTGAACCATATCAAAACTGTGGAGAAGGGGAAGCTCTTGGGCAGGAAAAAAAAACATGAGGTCCCAGATATTATCCAAAGAAAGTTTAATGTCAGTCTTTCCTACCACATACCTGAACTTATTGAATATATCATACTTTTTGTCCTCTTCTTTTAGGATTGGCTGTTGAACAAATTTGGTAGAGGCAGATGTTTGCTTCTTTTTGATGATCAAAGGGATAGGTTGATTTAGATTCAATTTATATATCTCTTGAAGCTAAACATAAATAAATCAGAAAAAGGAAATCATGAAAAGAAAGGGCCAAAGTCTTTAGGAAGGTCTTCCTAGCTGGCCTTAGCTAAACTATGACACTTCCTTGGAAAAGGAATTCTCATTCTCCAAGCCCTTTCTCCCTTCCTCCTGCCACTCCTCGACCTCTACCTGCCTCCAACACACAATTTCAGAGTTGGCAACTATGATGTATAAAAACCGTGGTCCTGCATTAAGTTCTAGTTTTAGTCCTCTCATTTCCCAGCTTTGTGACTTTGGGTTAGTTGCTAATTTTATCTGCACTTCTTTTCTCATTTCTAAAACAAGAATAATAAACACAGGGTTCTTATGAGAGTTGTGTAAGACAATATATTCATCAGTTGTGAAACATTGTGCAAATATAATGATAGCTAACTTTGACTGTCAGGTGCTTTCTATGTATTAATTTATTTGATATTTGCTACCTTATGAGATAGGTACTATTATTATCCTTGTCTTCTTACATATGGGGATATGAAGCTCAGAAAAGTTAAGTGGCTTGCCCAAGATCTCTTAGCTAGTATGTGGTGAAGCTGATTTGAACCCAATCTGGTAGCAGAACCAACCTCTTGACCATCACTCTGATTCAGTGTATTTATTCATTTCTACCCTTTTCTTCCTTTTTGCTTTTTCCCCTCCCTTCTTGATGCCTTGATACCCACGTCATCATCTAGATTCTAGCTTCCCTGACCCCAGACCCATATTAATCCCCTGAAATGCCCTAGACATTGTAATTCCTGTCAGACAGTTCATGACACTGCCAATTCATCTTGCTTTACTCCATTTACATTGGTCGTATTTTCCCAACCCAGAACTGTCAAAAATATCCAATTTTTGAGGTCAGAGAGTTTTAATGTTTAAAGTGTACTTCTAGGGACTTCCTTGGTAGTCCAGTGGGTAAGGCCCGTTGCTCCCAATGCAGGGGGCCCAGGTTCAATCCCTGGTTGGGGAATGAGATCCCGCATGCATGCCGCAACTAAGACCCGGTGCAGCCAAACTAAACTAAACTAAAATAAACTAAACTAAACTAAAATAAAATGTAACTTCTGGGGAGTTCCCTGATGGCCTAGTGGTTAGGATTCCAGGCTTTCACTGCTGTGGCCTGGATTTAATCCTTGGTTGGGGAACTGAGATCCTGCAAGCTGTGTGGCATGGCCAAAAAAAAAAAGAAAAGAAAAGAAAAGAAAAAGTAACTTCTGGGAAATTCACAATATGTCTATAATGAGAAGTCTCTCTGTACCTTCTAGAGTAGCAAGTAAACTAATCTTGTAAATTATTTACTTTAGTAAAAGAAAATGATGTATAAATATTCCTAGAACTCCAAGAATGTTCCAGAACTCCATGCTGGAGAAAATAATGGGAGCATATAATCCCAGAACAAAGAACTCTAATCTCAGCTCTATAACTTTTGGAAGGTATCACTTCCAAAAGCATACTAATGGTCATCTCAGAGAGGGCTCTGAGACATAATTGGGTGGATGTCAGAGTTCAGCAGGATCTTCTGTGCCTGGTGCTATGTAAGCAAGTTAAGTAAACCCTTATCTCCATTTTTTGTAAATGCATATTAAAACTTGCTTTCTGATAGTTTTGAGGAATGTAACCACCAAGAATCAGCTGGAGAGCAGTGAGCTCAAGAGGTTTCATATCTAGAGGCTGGTAGATGTGGGTTGACTAGGAAGGAGTTGAGCATTTCTGGAAGTCTCTCCTATTCTAACCTTTTCTCATCTAGAGAGTCCAGCCAGTATTCCTGTTGTCAATTTAGGAGTTTCACTGAAGTCACAGTGTAGTGGATTGAATGATGAACTCCCCAGAAGATATGTTCACTCAGAACATGTGAATGTGGCCTTATTTGGAAAAAGGGTCTTTACAGATGTAGTTAAGGATCTCAAGATGAGGTCATCCTGGTTTAACCAGATGGGTCCTAAATCCAATGACACATGGCTTTGTAAGAGGAGAACATAAAACACACTAGGAAGAAGGCCATGGGAAAGACAGAGGCAGAGATTGGAGTTATGCAGCTACAAGCCAAGGAATGCCAAGGATTGTCTATAGCCACCAGAATCTAGAAGAGAGACTTGGAACAAATTTCTCCCTCAGAGCCTCCAGAAGGAACCAACCCTGCCAACACCTTGATTTCTCGAACTGGCCTCCACAACTGTAAGAGAATACATTTCTGTTGTTTTAAGCCATGAAATTTGTAGTATGTTATGGTATCTCCAGGTAACTTATTTTCAAAGCCTACCACTTTGCCTTTTCTTACAACACACTGGGGAGAGGGAAAAGAAAACAGATTATCTGGCTGAATAAGTACGTCATTTTCCTCAGGCACTGATTCTGTTTCTGCTGTAGCGACTTCTGCTTCCCTGTGCAGATCTGCATCACCTTTTTTTGATAGTCATCAATTCTCCTCAGCATTATGTAGAGGTTCTGGGTCTCATAACCTCTCCCAGTATTCTGGATGGCTTGTAACCATTTAATTATGTTGTTTCTTGGAAAAATTAACAAGAATGAGATTCATATAATTACTGACACTAACTCAGCAAACCTGGTGTCACCAGTCTCATCTCATCCTTAGTAAGTAGAGAGAGATAGTATAGGGGTGGCAGGCTTGCTTAATGAGACCTTAATCTAGTTCCCTATATGACTAAACTTTCAAAACTCTATATGACTGTCAAATTTTCATTAACTCCTCACACAGTTTTTAGTGTTAAAATAGTGTTGCTTATTATTTTTTTAATATATTATATTTTAGTATTGATATGTATACAACATATAGAAGGTACTTAATACAATTATGAAAAAGAGTGTCCTTGCCTTCAAAGCACTTACAAGCCAGATTAGGAGACTAATAAGTTGTGTCAGAGAGAGAATGAAATAAATGCTAAATAGCAATTTAGCTGTTTGAGCAAAAAGGAAAACATAATTAATTCTAACAAGAGGAATAAAGAATGCTTCATAGGAAGACATTGAATAGGATCTTGAGGAACAGTCATAAAAATGTAGTACCCTCTTTACTATAATGTAGTAAGCCACAATGTTTGGGCCTCCAAAACATGGTTTTTTGCCATCCCTATTCTACAGGAGAGGAAAAGGATTCTGAGCAAAGTTAAGTAATTTTCTAAAGTCACATAATTGATAAATAACAGATTTGGGAAGCAAACCCAGATCTTTTCTCTTTCCACAATACCAGTATTTCTCAAAGTGTGGACCCTAATCACCTGGACTGAATCATTTTGTTGGGGGTGGGAGGGTGGTGCTTGTTGAAAATGCAGATTCCAGGGTGCATCCCCAGACCGTTTGAATAAAAAATCTTGGTGGTAAGCTTCAGGATCTGTATTTTAAAAAAAATCTCAGGTAAACCTTACAGCCACTGAAGTTTGAGAAAAAGGGGATGAAGAATTCCAGGTTGAGGGAACACTATAAATAAAGGCAAGACAATGAAAGTTATATTTTGGGAGTGGTGAATACTCTGGAACTTTTAGACCACAGATATGTGAAAGGATATAGTGGGGGATGAGACTGATATAGCTGGATTATGAAAGGCTTTAAACAGCATATTATGGAGTTTGGATTTTGGGGGAGGTAGGCAATGGGAACCCACTGAAGATGTTTTTCTGAATATACGTATTTTACATATATAGAGAGAGGGGGAAGGGAATAACTCTTAGGTCTCTTTGTGGGTTGTAATAGCTTAGAACCTACTGTATATATGGATCATTTAATACTTAAATATATTAACTTTCTGAGTTAATTTTATATTTTATTATTATTATTTTTTTTGGCTGCGTTGGGTCTTCATTGCTGCGTCCGGGCTTTCTCCAGTTGTGGTGAACGGGGGCTACTCTTTGTTGTGGTGCAGGGACTTCTCATTGCAGTGGCTTCTCTTGCTGCGGAGCATGGACTCTAGGTACGTGGGCTTCATTAGTTGCAGCACACGGGCTCAGTAGTTGGGGCGAGCGGGCTCTAGAGTGCAGGCTCAGTAGGTGTGGCACACGGGCTTAGTTGCTCCATGGCATGTGGGATCTTCCCGGACCAGGGATCGTCCCCTGCATGGGCAGGCGGATTCTCAACCTCTGCGCCACCAGGGAAGTCCCCTTGCAACCATTCTTTGAAGTAATTATCATTACATCAATTTTACAAATTTGAGTCAGCACATTTGAGTGTTAGAGAAGTTCAGAACTGGAAATTCGAGCCAAGGTCTTCCTGACATCAGAGAAAAAGCATGATCAGAATTTGGATATAAAACTATTACTACCCTCCTACACTGTTGGTGGGAATGTAAATTGGTGCAGCCTCTATGGAGAACAGGATGTAGGTTCCCTAAAAAACTAAAAATAGAGTTACCATATGATCCTGCAATCCCACTCCTGGGCATATATCTGGAGAAAACTCTAATTTGAAAAGATACACGTTCTTTTGAAAAGATACATGCACCCCAATGTTCATAGCAGCACTATTTACCATAGCCAAGACATGGAAGCAACCTAGAAGTCCATCAACAGATGAATGGATAAAGATGTGGTATATATAGACAATGGAATATTACTCAGCCATAAAAAGAATGAAATCATGCCATTTGCAGCATATGGATGGACCCAAATTTTATCATATTAAGTGAAGTAAGTCAGACAGAGAAAGACAAATATCATATGATATCACTGATATGTGGCATCTGAAAAAATGGTACAGGGAATTCCCTGGCGGTCCAGTGGTTAGGACTTCATGCTTCCCTGCTTCCACTGCAGGGGACACGGGTTCGATCCCTGGTTGAACTAAGATCCTGCAAACCACATGGCATGGCCAAAAAAAAAAAAAAAGATAAAAATGAACTTATTTACAAAGCAGAAATAGACTCATAGACATAGAAAACAAACTTATGGTTACCAAAGTGGTTACCAGGGGTTGGGGGAGATGAATTAGGAGTTTGGGATCAACATATACACACTACTATATATAAAATAGGTAAACAACAAGGACCTGCTGTATAGCACAGGAAACTATACTCAGTATCCTGTAATAACCTATAATGGAAAAGAATCTGAAAACGAATGTATATATATTTATATGTATATATGTATAACTGAATCACTTTGCAACGAACACAACATTGTAAATTAACTATATATCAATTTTTAAAAATTAAAAAATAAATAAAAATACTTTATTGCTAAAAAATTCTAACAGTCATCTGAGCTGGTAGAGAATCTTGCCTCAGTGCTGATGGCTGCTGACTGATCAGGTGGTGGTTGCTGAAGGTTTGGGTGGCTTTGGCAATTTCTTAAAAAAAGACAACAATGGAGTTTGCTGCATCCATTGACTTGTCCTTTTACGAATGATATCTCTGTAGCCTGCAGAGCTGTGTGATAGCATTTTTTGTTTGTTTGTTTGATAGCATTTTATCCATGGTAGAACTTCTTTTAAAATTAGAGTCAGTCCTCTCAAACCCTGCCACTGCTTTAACAGCTAAGTTTATGTAATATCCTAAATCCTTTGTTGTCATTTCAACAGTCTTCCCAGCGTCTTCATCAGAAGAATCTATCTCAAGAAACCACTTTCTTTGCTCTTCCATAAGAAGCAACTCCTCATCTATTCAGGTTTCATCATGAGATGGTAGCAATTCAGTCCCATCTTCAGGCTCTACTTCTACTTCTAGTTCTCTTGCTGTTTCTACCACATCTGCAGTTACTTCTTACACTGAAGTCTTGAGCTGCTCAGTTATCCATGAAGGTTGGAATCAATTTCTTCTAAACTCCTGTTCACGTTGGTATTTTGCCTTCTTTCCATGAATCATGAATGATCTTAATGGCATCTAGAATGGTGAATCCTTTCCAGGTTTTTAATTGACTTTGCACAGATCCATTATCTATGGCAGCTACTGTATAGCCTTACGAAATCTATTTCTTAAATAATAAGACTTGAAAGTCGAAATTACTCCTTGATCCATGGGCTGCAGAGTGGAAGCTGTGTTAGCAGGCATGAAAACAATGTGAATCTTAATGGAGATTAAGATTAATGGAGCATCTCCATTAGAGCTCTTGGGTGACCAGGTGCATTGTCAATGAGCAGTAATATTTTGAAAGGAATCTTTTTTTTCTGAGCAGTAGGTCTCAATAGTAGGCCTAAAATATTTAGTAAACCATGTTGTCAATAGTTGTGCTGTCATCTAAGCTTTGCTGTTTCATTGATAGAACATAGCAGAGTAGATTTAGCATTTTAATTTAGCATGGTTAATGAGCACTGGCTTCAACTTAAAGTCACCAGCTGCATTAGCCCCTAACAAGAGAGTCAGCCTGTCCTTCAAAGCTCTGAAGCCTTGAAGTCAGGCATTGACTAATCCTCTCTAGCTATGAAAGTCCTAGATGGCATCTCCTTCCAATATAAGGCTGTTTTGTATACATTGAAAATCTGTTTTTTAATATAGCCACCTTCATTACTTATTTTAGCTAGATCTGGATAACTTGCTCCAGCTTCTACATTAGCACTTGCTGCTTCACCTTGCACTTTGATGTTATGAAGAGGCTTCTTTCCTTAAACCTCATAAATCAACCTCTGCTAGCTTCAGACTTTTCTTCTGCAGCTTTCTCACCTCTCTCAGCCTTCATAGAATTGAAGAGACTTAGGGCCGTGCTCTGGATTAGGCTTTCAATTAAGGGAATGTCATGGCTGGTTTGATCTTCTATCCAGACCAGTAAAAGTTTCTCCACATCAGCAATAAGGCTGTTTGTCTTTCTTATCATTCATGTGTTCACTAGAGTAGCACTTTCAATTTCCTTCAAGAACTTTTCCTTTGCATTCACAACTTAGCTAACTGTGCAAAAGGCCTAGCTTTCAGCCTTTCTCAGCTTTCAACATGCCTTCCTTACTAAGCTCATTCATGTCTAGCTTTTGACTTAAAGTGATAAAGTGAGGGACCTGAGACTCTTCCTTCCACTTTAACACTTAGAGGCCATAGTAGGGTTATTAACTGGCCTAACTTCAATATTGTTGTGTGTCTCGGGATAGGGAAGCCCAAGGAGAGGGAGAGAGATGGGGGAACGGCCGATTGGTGAAGCAGTCAGAACACACAAAACATTTATCATTTAAATTTGCCATCTTATATGGATACGGTTCATCGTGCCCCGAAACAGTTACTGGTTTCCACCGACAGACACACACACACACACACACACACACACACACACACACACACATGCAACTTTGCTTCTTTCTTCCTTTCTTTGTCCTGCTAGACTCTCTGCCTTTGCTGCCTTACTGACTTTTACTAGTTCTTTGAGACATAGTTCAAAGGTCTGGACTCCTAGAAGCTTTACCTAACTCTCCCCTCTCCTCAGTCCTCTTGTATAGAGTAGGTGATATATTCTTTCCACATCATACTATATAATCATTTGTTTGTATGACTGTCTCTTAGTAGACTTTGAGTGCCCTCAAGGCAGGGTTATGGCTTATCCATTTTTGTATCCTTCCACCCTCTACCCCCTGGGCCTAACCCAGCCCCTGGCATGTAGTGGATATTTTAAATGTTGATGAATTAAATGATAAGTTAAATCCTATCTAGTCACCGCAACATATAGTATCTTTAAGAACTTTCTCCAATATATATGGAAATGAAATGTTTCATTATCAGCATCTGGTGTAATTTTACATTCTTTCCATCATTGCTTTTCAGGTATATTACACTGATCATGTGGTAATACAACTCTAAAACTGTATTTTAGCATTTAAACATGGAATCTTTACTTACAGAGGTTCTACAAAACTTTCTTTATTCAAAAATAGTTTATATTATTATACTTTATGTTTTCTCTCCCATATAATGTTAGAATCTTCTTGACTCAGCCATTTTTATTATGGAATCTTTCAGCTGTCAATATTTAATTCCTTGTTATACCTGTTGGTGATTTGATTATTATAACATTAAATATTAAAGAAGAGCTTTCTGAAGAATGAACAAATTGATCCTTGATGGATCAATTATAAAAGTTATAAGTGTATAAATTAAATATTGTTGTGAAATGTTGATCTATATATTTCAATTTTTAAATGATTTTACTAAAACAGGTCACATCATGTCACTTAGATCTTCAAAATCTTCACTAAAATTAAACAAACTTAATTGCCATATAAAAATTAAGAAAGTTGTCATAGAATTCCCCCCAAAAGTACCAAGCCCATATAATATCATAGGTGAAATCTACCAAACTTACAAAGAATAGCTAATTTTATCATTAAACTGTTCCAGAGCATAGAAAAAAAATAAGCTTTCACATTTTTTAAATGATATAAACTTAAACCAAAATTTGACAAAGATAGCACCAAGAGAAGTAAACCACCAAACTTACTAATGAATATCAATGCAAAGTAAAATCCTAAATAAAATATTAGCAAATGTAACACATTCAAAGAAAGGTACAACAAGGACAAATTCCAGGGATGTGATGATGGTTTAAAATAATTAATCATATTAATAGAGCTGAGGAGAAAATATGTTCTCTAATAACCATGAAAATGAAGTGCTGAAATCACATTTAACAAAATGTGATTTAATAAATTTAACAAAATTCAACATCCACTCTTGATTTAAAAAAAATAACAAAACAGGAGCTGACAGATACTTCTTTAATATGATAAAATGTATTTCAACCCAAAAGCCAGCATTTTTTAATGACATATACTAGAAAGATGTCCACTATCACCACTATAATAATTAGCAATGAAAGGACTTACATTTTGGCATTCTGAGTTACAAAGGAATGGAGAAAATAACCCCCCTCAAAATGAAGTTGACTAAGGTTAAAGTTGTTTTGTAACTTTTTCAGAAAGGAGAATATAAATATAAACAATCCTTTTAAATGTTCTTGAAGGTGAGTTTTTCCTAGAAAAAAATAACATGGGACCATGGAAGGGCACTACTAGCTGTTACTCAGGGCAAGTCAAATGAACAAAGATGGCCTTGTGGCCACATCACCAATATTTTTTAATATAGTTCTGAAGGTACTAATCAATTCAGGTAGACAGGGACAGAAATGAGATGTTTAAAAGTTGGAAATTCTAGATGTAAAAAATTATTATTTGCAGGTGATATGATTATGTAATTGGAAAACTCAAGAATATCAACTGAAAACCTATCACATGCTTTCGAATACAGTAAGATGGCTGCATACAAAATTGATACAGAGAAATCTAGCCTTCATTTATACAAATAACAACCAGTTAGAAGGTATCATAGAAGAAGAGAGTCCATTTACAATAGTAACAACAAAAATAAAAACTAGCAAGATATACACTTATGGCAGAATATGCAAGAGCTAGATGAAAACTTTAGAATGCTCCAACAGGACACATGCACACACACACACACGTGCACACGCACACACAAACGACCTGAACAAAAGCAAAGGTATATCATTTTCTTGAATAGGAAGACTATATTAATAAAGATAAACTGGGTTTTGCTGTTTGTAAACAAAAGTTTACCTGTTGCTCATACTACAAATCCATCATAGCTTTGCAGGGAATGAGCTTCATTCTATACTCTCAGGAACACAGGCTAACAGAGCAGTCATCACCTTGAACACTATAGGTTATCATACCAGAGGAAAAGGAGACTCTAGAGGGTCTCAAACTGACAATGACAAGCTTAGTACAGAAATGATACACATTAATTCTGCTCACATCTCATTGACAAGTACTGGCAAATAGTACTAACTACCACGAAGACTCAGCATCATAAAAATAAAACTGCAATAAATAACAGAGAATAGAAGTAACTCATCTATATGCAATCAATAAAAAATAATAGAAAATCCAGTTATGGACTTAAATGATACAACAATTTATGATGAAGCTACATTCAAATCAATGAGGGAAAAAGGTAGATTATTTTGTAAATAGTGATGGGGCAACTGTGCAGCCATGTGGGGGAGTGAAAAACATCACACCTATATCTCACAACAGAAAGCTTAGAATCGAAGACTTAAATGTAAAACAAACAAACAAAAAACTAATAACCAACCATAAAAGTACTAAAAGCAACCTAGAAATAATTTTTTTATATTTCTCATAGTGGAGAGGGCCTTTCTAAATATGGTACAAAGCATTATTGCAAATATTGATATAGGGACTTCCATGGTGGTCCAGTGGGTAAGACTCCAAGTTCCCAGTGCAAGAGGCTCGGCTTCGATCCCTGGTCAGGGAACTAGATCCCGCATACATGCCGCAACTAAGAGTCCGCGTACCACAACTAAGACGTCCACATGCCGCAACTAAGACCCAGTGCATCCAAAATAAGTAAATAAATATTTAAATAAGAAAATATAAACACATAAAAATCAAAATTTTTTTAGAAAGCAGAAACCACCAAAAGCAGAGTCAAAACACAAGTGGGGGAAATTTGGCAATTTATGTCACAGACAAGGGACTAATTTTACAAATATTTGAACAGGCCCCACGAATCAATTAAAAAAGCAACTTGACAACCCAACTGAAAAATGGGCAAAGTATTGAATAGAATCTTCACAGAAAATAAAATACAGATGGCTCTTAAGTCTATGAAAAGATGCTTAACCTCAACCTATAATAAAAGTAATGCAAATTAAAGCATTGAAATGCCATATTTTATCTATTACATTGGCAATGAACCAAAAAACTGATAATATTTCATGTTAGTCTTGATGTGGGGAAGTACTCTTTTATAATGCTGACCAATGTATAAATTGTTACCAGTTGGAAGTTACCATTCTTCCAGTTGGAAGCATTTCTAAACTTCTGAAGTTGATATTTTGGAGATCAACCATGATCCACAAAATATACTTAAGCATGTCTGCTAGAGATATAAATGAATGAAATAGATGCTATAAGACATTTTTTATTTCCTAAAAAATATACTTCCTTTTACTATCTTAAATATGCTTCCATTCCACAGACCTTCTATAAGAGAATCTTTTAGAACATCTAATCTGACAAATATGTATACACTTATAGGGCAGTGAGGGAGGATATTTGAAATCAGGACTAAACCTGATTTCAGAAAACTGGACACACAATATTTATATCTACCTTGCACACTGGATCAGCCTATAGGCAATGTACTTGTGGAATAGGTATCCCAGCCGAACTTTGTCCGTATGAAGTGTCTCAATTATGAGATTCCTAGCTGTTGTGTGTAGTTGTGAAGGGAGTATAGAAGCTTTTGTTGCCTGATTTAAGAGAATCAGGTTCTTCTGCTGAGCCTCCACATCAACAAAATAGTTCTGTTCTTTGAGCTCTTGGGGATAGGAAGTGGGCACCATCATCTTGGTTTTCTGGGTACCTGAAAGTGAGGTCAGTATCCAGGTCTTATCTATAGGGGGAAATCGGGATTTCTGGTCCCATTCAGAAGGTGAGCTCTGTGATGTTTTGGGTAGTAAGAGAAGGTAGTGATATTACAGGCTTAATGAGAGTAGGAAGGGCCCCCTCATCAATGTAAGGGGTTTGGGATACTGGTGTCCTGTAATCAGTGAGATAGGACTTAAATGTTCTAAATTGTTCCATAGCAAAAGGATCTCGGGGGTCTCTGGATTTCTTCATAAGTGTCAGAGACCTCTGATATTTGGAACTTCTTAGTGGTGAAAGGGGCTTGAGGTACCTTGAAACTGGGAGCACTGGGATGGACCAATGCTGATTTAGGTTTCAGAGAAGAAATAATTGACAATCTTTCCTTACTTTTCTTAGAGACAGGAGAGGACAAATTTTTCTGGGGCTTTCCAGGGGTTGAGGGAGCCCATAGTGTAGGGCGTTGCCCAGGGGTGGGAGGGATCCATAGTGGGCAAGCTTGCCCAAGAAGGGTCCATGGTGACAGATGCTGCCTAAGGGTAGAAGGGGCTTGTAGATAGCTCATGGGTGGCAGAGGTCTGGAATGCCTGAGGCTGCTCAGAGAGGGTTAAGGGTCCAGATTCCAAGAGTTCCTCAGGGGTGGAAGAAGCCCCAGGAACCAAGCACTTCCTATGAGAGAAAGGAGCCCAGATACTGGGAATCTGTGCAGAAGTGGCTGGGACTCCAGATATAAGGAGCTGTCTGAGGTCAAGAAGGGGCTTCAATATCAGAGGCAACTGGGGAGTCACAATGTCCCTAGATATGAAGAATTGCCTAGAACTAAGAAGGGCCTGGTGCAAGGGGCTGCCCTGGAGTGGGAGAGGGCCCAGATATTGGGCTGGGGACTGGAGCTGGGAACCGAACAGAGGTGGATTGACCCTTAGAAACTGGGGTCTGTCTAGAGGAAGGAAAAGTCTGTGGTGCCAGGAGCTTCCTGGGCTCTGAAGGAATCCTCATTCCCAAGGATTTCCCAGGGACAAAGGGGGCTTGTGTAAGAGGAGACCTTGATATCTGCGAAGGAGTAGAAGAGACCTCAGATAGAGGGGACTTCTCAGCAACAGGAGCAGATGGTACTGGGGACTGCTTAGGAATGTGAGGAGCACGTGTTGTGACAGCTATATCAGTAACGGAAAAGACCCCAACTTCCAGAGTATGTCTTGAAGGAGGACCAGGCCTGCGTGGTAAGGACTGCTCATTAATAAGAAGAGCTCCTAATTTTAGGTCCTGCTCAGACCTGAGAGTAATACCCATGGACTGGGCCTGTCCTGGGGTGAAAGGGGCTCCCAAAGGTTGGATTTGTTCTGGGATGTGGGGAGATTCTAAGGTATAGTTGTTATCTGAGGTGGGAGGAACTCCTAATTCCTCAAACTGTTCTGGAGAGAGAGAAACCCCCAATGCTTGAGCCTGTCCTAAAGTGAGAGGGGCCCCCAAGTCCTGGGCCTGCTGAGGGGTGACATGGATCCCCAGTCCCTGGGCCTGTTGAGGGGTGAGAGTGATCCCCAGTTCCTGGGTCTGCTGAGCGGTGACATGGGGGACCACCTGTGCCTGGGCCTGTTCAGGGGTGACATGAATCCCCGGTGTCTGGGCCTGCTCATGGCTGAGAGTTATCCCCAATGCCTGGACTTGCTGAGGGGTAAGAGTGACCCTCAGTACATGGGCCTGCTCAGGTGCGTGGGCTGCTCCCAAACCCTGAGACATCTTAGGAGTAGGGTTTTCCCCCAATTCCTGAACCTGATGGGAGGTGGGGGTGATTCCCAGTGCCTTGGCCTCTTCAGGGGTGAGGTCAATTTCCATTGCCTGGGCCTGCTGAGGGGTAAGAGTAATGGACTTTGTGGGAGACTGTCCAGAAATAGAAAAGGCTCCTGGTGAGGAAGATTGTGTAGCGATGGGAGGAATGATTGGTATGGGGTGCTTTCCATAGCCAGATTCTCTAATTTCTTAAGATTCCCATTGAACTCTCTTCTTTGGTGTAACTGCAGTGCGTCTTTTGGTGTGCTCTGCCACCTGGAAGACAATGTCACTGAAGTGTGACTGAGCACCTGTTCTGGTTGTTCAGAGGTTTTCATCTCCTTTGCTGTTTTCTGCTTCTGCCTTTCATGGTCCTCTACCTTTCTCCTTGGCTTCTGCTTCTCCTCCTCTCTCTCCCGACTGCTTTCTTGCTCCAGATGTCTCACTTCCTTCTGAACCTGCATCACCTGCTGTCCTTTCTCCTTCTCCAAGGGCACTCCTTGTTCTTTCATTTTTTGCTTCCATGCTTCCAGCTGCTGCTGCTTTGACTTCTGATGCCCTTCTTTCTCCTCTTCCCTTTTCTTTTGCCTCTCATCTGGCTCAATCTGCTTTTGCATCCTCTGTTTTTGCTGTCCCTTCCACACCTCTTCTTCCTGCCACTGTTTCTGCTTCTGTTGCCCTCGCTTTCCCTCCTTCATTGGGAGCCATGCCTCTTCCTTTTCCAAATTCTTATTTATCATCTCATAGCTCCTTTCTTCTAGCCTTTGTTTTTCCTTCTCCTTGTGGTCTTTCCCTACTGTTGAGGCTACAGGAACATCCCGTTCACTTTCTATTTCAGCCAAGATCATTTGTATTAAATTGTCAGTTAGTGGGCCAAGGCTCTCCTGTGAAAGTAAGGTGCTAATTTCTGACTTTGCACTAATCTGCTTCTGAAAATGCAATTCTGGCATAAATGAGACCACCTTTTTTCGCTTCATAGGTTTCTCTCCAATTTGTCCTGCATTTTTTATATCTTTGTATTTTCTCAAGATTTTTGTCACAGTTTCAGCCACTTTTTGGAAATATTCCTCGATTTTTGCCTTTATGATTCCTAATTTTTCAACTTCTGCTCTTTTTAATAATAACTCTTCTTTTGACCTAGTCTTTTTATCCAAAGGCTTTCCTATGTTATCGATTTTCTCTTTTAGGAATGACACTATGGCTTTCTGAAATTCTTCTAGATTACTCTGTTCTCTTTTGCCATCTGGAGTTCCTGAAGTCTCTTTAGTTATCCTAGACTGTGATTTAACAAGTTCAAGAGACTTGACTTTCTTGGCGAAGACTGACATATCCTTCTCTTCAGTTTTTTCTTCTTTGCTTATAATGGTTCCTGGAGAGATTTGGTGTTTCTTTCCTTTTATTTTCATTCTCTCAGAGGAATAATCAAGTTGGCTCAACCTGGATGGCTCTGCTTGGCTACTCATCTCACTTCTGCCTTCTTCGTCCATTGACTCAATGATGAGTTCCTCTTTATTCTCTGAAGAAATTTGACTTTTGCTATGGGAATATTCAGGTTTGGCTTTCCTGAGTCTTTCCCATATACTACTGGTTCCACTTTTGCCACCTTGGCTCTTTGTGTCAGAAGGGAAATCAGAAGGAAAATGTTGACTTTTTGATTCAGTGAGTGACTTTGATTTGCTTTCAGAAAATGATTTTATTTCTTTTCTCTTCTTTTCTAGTGCTTGTATTTCAAAGTGGTGATCAAGTTTGGGCCCTGTGACTTTCTGTTTACCTTTATCATCATTCACATTTGATTCGGAGGTCTCCTGCACATATGGGCCTTTTGTGCGCTTTCCTTTCTGTGATTGGTACTGATCAGTCCCATCTTTCTGAAAGGCACCGCCTTTCTTCGCTGATATCTTATCTATAATGATATCTTCAGTGATCTCTTCAGAAGACTTTTTCTGTTTTTTTTCAGGTAAAGGGTATTGCTGGTCAGTTATATCTGAAATCGTCTCACCTTGGGCTATATATGAAGGAGATGAGTCCCACTTGATCCCCAAGGCTTTGGTCCCTTTTTGGGGAGCCTCATCTACAACAATTTCAAATTCTTTGGCCAAAATATTATCTACACTGTCTAATGTGTCAGCTTGGCTAATGGCTAATTGTGGAGAAGGCTCAGGTAACACTCTCAGTGTTGATGTGGGCAATGCTTGGTGTTCTACACCTTTGGATCGAACAAGGTGTTTATATTTTTCTTCTGCTTCTTGAAGTTTCTGCTGAAGCATTTCATTTTTTTTACTGAGATCTTGTATTATCTTCAGGGAAATCTCTTTTTCTCTTTCACTTGTCTCATTTGTATACATATTGGCACTTTGGAGGTTAATAACTTGCACTTCATCATTTAGTGTACTCAAAGCTTTAGAAAGGTTTTCTATTGTTGATGACATATATTTAATAGCATTGTTTTCCAATTTATTGAACACTGCAGTATCTTTGAGTTCCTGTAGCATATCTTGGATTTCTGAAACCTTTGTATTTGTTGCAAATTGATCACTAATCGTCTGATCTGGTCTTAAAGCATGAGCTGTTGCAGGTCGCTGTATAACACTTTCTATCCAAGATTTCCATAGAGAACCTCTAGATGCTAGAAGAAATAAATAAATAAATAAAATAATGAGATCGCATTTCTTCTTTTGTGCTGTGCTCTATGTTTAAGCCTAAGGAATTTAGCCTAAATTAACAGATAGATATAGGATAAAGTTTCATCAGGTAAGTTTGGCCCCAAAATAAACAGCATTATTTTCAAAAGAATGACTCTTTTCCCACAATCATCTAGAAGTTCTTCTTCCAGAGTTTAGGAGAACTCAGCTGTGACCTCAACTTACTTTCGATTACAATTTTGAGATTAGACATAAGGTAAACCAGAACTTTCCTTTGGTTTTGATTATGCTTGGCGCTTTCCATTTTCTTTCTTGGGTTCCTATCTTTCTTTTCTCCCTTTTCTGAGTCGAAGCTAACCTTGATTCTTTCAAAAGGATCACAAAAGAATAGAAAGCAAACATTTGAAGGGATTTCCAAAATGGCTGAATGAGAAACTCAGCAAATTTTTCCCAAAAAGGCAATGAAAAAACTGAGCAAAACTGCCAAAAACAATCATTTTAGGACGTTGGAAACTGAGCAAAGGCATACAACAAATTGAGAAGAATTTATTCAAGAAAAATTTGCTATGATGTTTTAGCCTGGAGCTGCTTGCATCTCCAACTCCCTAGCCCTATGGCCTGAGTTCTACCAGAGTGAGGCAGCCTGTGAGGACTGACAGCTCTACTGCCTGAGGGGGTTGATTTGATCTAGAGCAAAGCAATTCTTTAACAATACTACTTTAACCCATACACAGATCCGTTAGCAAAGAGTAGAAGCCTTACTGGATCAATCTGGATTAATTAACGATTGACTAATCATTGACTGACCACTAAGCTATGCTGACCCAAAAGTAACCCCTAAAATTCAGGCTTAAAAATAAAAATAAACAAACAAAAAAACACAACTGAGTAGAGATATCAGTGGTTGCCCACTGTGGGGGATACAGACTCCACCAAATTAGTCCAGACAAGTCACTAAAAAACAAACCAAAAAGGCAACAAAAACAAACTCTGGAGGTTGTAAGGAGAATCAAAATCCAGAGTTGCTACAATATATTACCTAAAATGTCCAGTTTTCAACATAAAAAAAAGCATGCAAAGTAACAGAAAAGTGTGACCCATACACAGGAGGAAAAGCAGTCAGTAGAAATTGTCTCAGGGACCAGGGAGAGGAGGTGGGCAGATGTTGGACTTATCAGAAAAAAAGAAGCAGTTATAAATAGGTCCAAAAAACTAAAAGAAACCATATTTTAAAATAAAAGTATGATGACAATTACTCGTCAAATAGAGCATATCATTAAAGAGATGAAAACTGGAAAACCAAGTGGAAAAATTGGAGTTGAGTAGTACAATAACTGAAATGAAAAATTCACCAAAAGGGCTCAACAGCATGTATGAGCTTACAGAAGAAAATAACCAGCAAACCCGATGCTAGATAACTAGAGATTGTCTACTCTGAAGAACAGGGAGGAAAAAGAATAAAGAAAAATGAACAAAGCCTCAGAGACTTGTAAGGTACCATCAAGCATACCAATGTACAAGCAATAGAAATCCCAGAAGAAGAAGACAGTGGGGCATTAAAAGTATTTGAAGAAATAATGGCCAGATCATCTCAAATTTGATGAAAGGCATTAATCAACACGTTCAAGAAGCTCAGCAAATTCTAAGTGGGATAAATACTGAAAGATCAATACCTAGAACATCATAGTCAAACTGTTGAAAGCCAGACAAAGTGAGAGAATCTTTAAAGCAAAAAGAGAAAAATGACTCATCACAATCAAAGGAGACCCATTTAGAACAGGGGAACTGCAGTAAATTTAACAGGTCACTTCTTATCGGAAACAGTGGAGGCAGAAGGCAGTGGGATGGTATATTCAAAGTGCTGAAAGAATAATACTATTAACCAAGAATTCTATGTCCACCAAAACTATTCTTCAAAAATAACCAGCAAACTTGATGCTAGATTGCTAGAAGTTAAGACATCCATTCCCTGAAATAACACTCTTCCCAAAGTAGCATGAATGTACAGCCCTCATAACCATCATTATTGCATGTTTTTAAACACTTCTCTAAATGTATTACAGAAGAGCTATCACATCCATTCACTGAAATAACACTCCTGTCAAAGTTGCTTTCAGTGAACACTCATATATCCATAGTTAATACATGTATTTTTAAACTCTTCTCTAAGTACATTGCAGAATGTCTGTCACATCCATTCACTGAAATAAGTACATGCTTCTCAAAGTAGCATGCATGTACAACTCTTTATTTTTAATGAAGGAGAGAAATAATATATACTGACAGCAAGTAAGCTTATGAGAAGATGCTCAATATCACTTGTCATTAGAGAATTGAAATTACAATGAGATACTGTTACACACCTATTAAAATATCTAAAATTAAAAAAAAAACAGATAATACCAATGCTTGCAAGGATATGGAGTAATGGAACTTTTGTTTATTGCTGGTGGGAATGAAAAATGGTACAGATACTTGAGAAGACAGTTTCGAAGTTTCTTACAAAATTACTTACAAAATAATGTAGTCTTTTAAAAAATTTACTACTATTATTTATTTATTTATTTATTTATTTATTTTTGCCTGCATGGGGTCTTTTTTCCTATGCATGGGCTTTCTCTAGTTGTGGTGAGTGGGGGCTATACTCTTCGTTGTGGTGCGCAGGCTTCTCATGGCTTCTCTTGTTGTGGAGCACAGGCTTTAGGCATGTGGGCTTCAGTAGTTGTGGCACGTGGGCTCAGTAGTTGTGGCTCGTGGGCTTTAGAGCGCAGGCTCAGTAGTTGTGGTGCACAGGCTTAGTTGCTCCGCGGCATGTGGGATCTTCCCGGACCAGGGATCGAACCTGTGTCCCTGCATTGGCAGGCAGATTCTTAACCACTGCACCACCAGGGAAGTCCCAAATAGTTATTTATTTGGCTGTGCCAGGTCTTAGTTACGGCACACAGGATCTTTGTTGCGGCATGCAGACTTCTTAGTTGCGGCATGTGGACTCTTAGTTGCAGCATGTGGGATTTAGTTCCCTGACCACGGATGGAACCCGGGCCTGCATTGGGAGCACGGAGTCTTGACCACTGGACCACCAGGGAAGTCCCAATGTAGTCTTATATGATTCAGCAATCATGCTTCTAGGTATCTACCCAGTTAATTTGAAAACTTACATCCACACAAAATACTTGCATGAGAATGTTTATAGTAACTTTATTCTTAATCACCAAAACCTGGAAGCAGCCAAAATGTCCTTCAATAGGGAGATAAACAAACTGTGGTACATCTATACAATGAAATATTATTCAGCAATAAAAAGAAATAATCTATTAAGCCACAAAATATTATGGAGGAAACTTAAATGTGTATTGCTAAGAGATAGAAACCTGTCTGGAAAAGCTACATACTGCATAATTCCAATTATATGACATTCTTGACAAGTCAAAACTATAGGGACCCTAAACAAGCAGTGGTTGCCAGAGTCTTGGAGAGGGGAAGGATTAAACACAGGGGATTTTTAGGATGGAGAAACTATTCTGTATGATACTGTAATGGTGGATACATGACAATATACATTTGTCAAACCCTACATAACTCTACAGTACCAAGAGTGAAACTACATAGGCAAATTTTAAAAAATAACCATCTAGGAGGTAAGGGGATCCCAGGAAGGAATTCATACTGTGATACGAGAATCTAACCATATTAGAAATGTATGACACAACCTCACTGAAAGAAATGGCAGTGCTGGGGAAGAGGGAGTGTTGCTGACCTAAGTAACTGGAAATGAAAGGATTCTGTAAGACCAAGGCAAAAGGAACTACATATGAGGGCTGTACTGTAGTTGATAAGTTGTTTCCCTTGGGAGTATGGGTTAATAATTCTGATACTGCTATACATGTATACTGTACTGAACAATTAAGTAAATGGATGGCGGATGGTAGGAACAGGTTTCTCACTGTTTGGGGTAGGAATTTACTGATAAGCAAGGGGAGGGAGCTAGAATGATCCATGTGATAATGAACTAGAGTTAGAGACATTGACAAGAACTCATGTTTAGCTTAATGTAGTTACAGATGATTATATACATAAATGTCTATAGATATGTGTATATTCATGGATCAGCACACGCACACATTTTTTTTGCTCTGTCAGATGAGAGGGCCAAGGGAATTCCCTGGTGCTCCGGTGGTTAGGACTCCAAGCTCTCACTCCCAAGGGCCCAGGTTGAATCCCTGGTCAGGGAACTAAGACCCCACAAGCCAAAAAAAAAAAAAAAAAGAAAAAAAGAAAGATGAGAGGGCCAAACAGAAATAACACCCTAGTAGCAATGACCACACATAGCAACCAGATCTTGGTTTTTAATACTATTCTCTAATGAAAGGAACCAGAAGTCCTTGGAGAAATGACAGATTCTAGAACTGGGGCAGGAAATATTCAAGATGAACCTGAAGCATCTTGTAACTTGTAAGTACCAGAAAGTAAGGAAGTGCTAAAAAAAAAAGAGAGAGAATAAACCACATTGATGCGGGTATGTGAAAGGGGCACAAAAACCAACTGAAAGAGGTTCTGATGGCCAAAGCTGGAACTTGAGCAAGAAAATAAAGTAGTATTAGGTTTTATAACCCAAAGTATTAAATATCTGTGCGTTCATTTGGATATAAATAAATAATCTAATAAATTACTAAATAGGAGAGAAGAGACAGACTCCTGTGCTTAAAAGTTCAAATAATTTATGTAGATACTCCACCCTAGAGGAGGGGGCGCATAACTCTCCATTCCTTAAATGTGGGCTGCACATATGGACTTCCTTTTAAAGAGCACAATATGGCAAATGAGGAAAAAACTACCTTTGCAGTGGAGAAACCTGACAAGCACTATTTTAGCTAGGTGATCAAGGTCAACACTGAGTCATAAATCATTTGATAATATGTACCTTTGAAATGGTATTGTGACAATAGTACTTTACCTCTGTGATCTTTCTCCCAAAACCCCATAGCCCCAGGGTAAATGTGAGAAAAATATCAGATGAATTCCAATAGAGGGGCATTTTACAATACACCTGACTGGTACTCCTCAAACCCATCAGGGACATCAAACACAAGGAAAAATCTGAGAAATTGTCACAGCCAAGAAAGCCTAAGGAGACATGGCAACTAGATGTAACCTGGTACCCTGGATGGTCTCCTGAAACAGAAAAAGGACACTAGGTAAAAACAAGGAATTATTAATCAATTACAAACTTTAATTAATAATGTCTCAATATTGGTTTGTTAATTATAGCAAATGCATCATACTAATGTAAATATTAATAATAATAAAGTATGGTGAGATAAATGGAACTTTATTATAGTCTCAATTTTTCTCTAAATCTAAAACTGCCTGAAAAAAATGACTGTGAAATGAAGACAATCCCAGATAAGCAATGACTTGGTGCTGGTAGACTGGCCTTACAAGACATAGTAAAGAAGTCTTTTAGGTTGAAAGAAAATGACACCAGAGGATAATGCAATTTCACACAAAGAAATAAAGAGCACCAGTATATGTAAGTAAATTTGAAAGACGGTAAAAATATTATTTTCTTTTTCCTCTCTTAGTCAATTAAAAAGACAAGCATATAAAACAATAATTTATATGGACTTCCCTGGTGGCGCAGTGGTTAAGAATACTCCCACCAATGCAGGGGACATGGGTTTAACCCCTGGTCCAGGAAGATCCCACATGCCTCGGCACAACTAAGCCCATGTGCCACAACTACTGAGCCCACGTTCCACAACCACTGAAGCCCACGTGCCTAGAGCCTGTGCTCCGCAACAAGAGAAGCCACCACAGTGAGAAGCCTGTGCACTGCAATGAAGAGTAGCCCCCGCTTGCTGCAACTAGAGAAAGCCCGCGTGCAGCAGCGAAGACCCAACGCAGCCAAAAATAAATAAGTAAATAAATAAATAACAATAATTATAAAACTATATTGTTGGGCATATAATGCGTAAATATGTAATATATATGACAAAGCACAAAGGAGGGGAAGAGAATGGAGCTATTGGAGCAAAGGTTCTATATTTTGCTGAAATTAAGTTAGTACTAATCTCTGGCAGATTGTGGTAATTTAAGGTGTATACTGCAGGTCCTAGAACAACCACTAAGAAAATTACTCCAAAAATGTAGGAAAAAATGGAATTAAAAGGTAGACTAGGGCTTCCCTGGTGGCGCAGTGGTTGAGAGTCCACCTGCCGATGCAGGGGACACAGGTTCGTGCCCCGGTCTGGGAGGATACCACATGCCGCGGAGCGGCTGGGCCCGTGAGCCATGGCCGCTGAGCCTGCGCGTCCGGAGCCTGTGCTCTGCAACGGGAGAGGCCACAACGGTGAGAGGCCCGCGTACTTCAAAAAAAAAACCCCAAAAAAAAGGTAGACTAGAAAATATCTGTTTAGGGGACTTCCCTGGTGGTGCAGTGGTTAAGATCCGCCTGCCAATGCACAGGACACGGCTTTGATCCCTGGTCCCGGAAGATCCCACATGCCATGGAGCAAGTAAGCCCGTGTGCTACAACTACTGAGCCTGCACTCTAGAGCCCACGAGCCACAACTACTGAGCCAGTGTGGCACAACTACTGAAGCCCACGTGCCTAGAACCTGTGCTCCGCAACAAGAGAAGCCACCGCAATGAGAAGCCCGCAAACCACAACAAAGAGTAGTCCCTGCTTGCTGCAACTAGAGGAAGCCTGCACGCAGCAGCGAAGACCCAACACAGCTAAAAATAAAATAAATAAAAATAAAATATCTGTTTAACACAGAAGGCAGTAAAAGAAGAATAGAAGAAGAAAAAGATATATGAGACATATGGAAAACAGCAAAATAGCAGGTATATATCCAACCATATCAATAATTACATTAAATATGAATTAATCACTCCAGCCAAAAGTCAGAGATTGCCATATTGTATTTAAAAAAAAAAAAAGCCCACAAGATCCAACTATAAGCAACATATCCTAGATTCAATCTTGCTAACAGTAACTACAGGGGAGCTAGAGAGACTATACTAATATCCGATAAAATAAACGTTAAGGCAAAATAAAAAAAAATGGTTCTAGAGACAACAGAAGACATTTTATAATGATAAAAGGGTCAGTTCATCAGGAAGCTAACACAATTATAAACATATGTGCATCTAACAACAGAGCCTTCAAATACAGGAAGCAAAAAAACTGACAGAATTAAAGAGAGAAATAACAATAATATTGGAGAGTTCAATGTCCCACTCTCAATAATGGATAGAACAACTAGATAGAAAGGTCAGCAAAGAGATACATAGAAGACTAGAACAACAATATAAACCAACTATAAAACACTGCACCTGACAACAACCAGATATATATTCTTTTCAAGAACACATGGAATACTCTCCAGAATAGCTCATATGCTAGGCTATAAAACAAGTCCCAATACATTTAAAAGAATTAAAATAATACAGAGCATGTTCCTCAATTGCAATGTGATAGATGGATAGATAGATTATATATAATCTCCTTCTGGTTCTGCTCTCATGGTTGAATTCTGACTGATACAAGTTCATAATACAACACTAAAACCATGATCCATATAAGAAAAAAATGATAAATTGATGGAACATCATCAAAATTAAACACTTTTGGGTTTCAAGGCACCATTAAGAAAATGAAAGACAAGCCACAGACTGGGAGAAAACATTTGCAAATCACTTTTCTGATAAAGGACTTGTATCCAGGATATATAAGGAACTCTTAAAACTCAATAATAAAAATGGCTAAGTATTTGAATAGACATTTCATCAAAGATATAGGAAAGACTAATAAGCACATGAAAAAATGGTCAACATCATTAATCATTAGGGAAATGCAAATTAAAACCACAATGAGGGCTTCCCTGGTGGCGCAGTGGTTGAGAGTCCGCCTGCCAGATGCAGGGGACACGGGTTCGTGCCCCGTTCTGGGAAGATCCCACGTGCCGCGGAGCAGCTGGGCCCGTGAGCCATGGCCGCTGGGCCTGCACGTCCGGAGCCTGTGCTCCGCAACGGGAGAGGCCACAACAGTGAGAGGCCCGCGTACCGCAAACAAACAAACAAACAAACAAAAAACCACAATGAGATATCACTTCATACTTATTAGAAAGGCTATAATAAAAAAGACAGACAATGACAAGTGTTGTTGAGGATGTGAAGAAACTGGAACCGTAATACACTGCTGATGGAAATTGCAATGGTGCTGTCACTTGGGAAATCAGTTAACAATTTCTTAAAAAGTTAAACATAAGTTTACCAGCAATAGATAAATAAATGACATAGAAATTCTACTCCTAGGTATCTCCAAAAAGAAATGAAATTTTATGTCCACACAAAAACTTATACATGTGTGTTCATAACAGCATTATGCATAAAAGCCAAAAAGTGGGAGCAATGCAAATGTCCATGCACTGGTAAATGGATAAACAAAGTTTGGTATATGCAAACAATGGTCTACAATTGGCAATAGAAAGGAAGAAACTACTGATACATCCTATAACATGGCTGAACCTCAAAAACATTATGCTAAATGAAAGACACCAGACATAAAAGACTACATAAAATATGTTTCCACTTCATGAAATATCCAGGAAAGGCAAATCTACTGAGACAGAAAAGAGATTAGTGGTTGTCTGGGGCTGAGGGTGGGAATGAGGATTGACTGCAAATGGGCCTGAGAGATCTTTGGGGGATGATAAAAATGTTCTAAAGTTAGATTGTGGTGATAGTTGCACAACTCTAAATTTATTAAAAGTCATTGAATTGTACAATTATCGTGGGTAAATTTTATGGTACCTAAATTATAAAGCTCTTTTTTAGAAAAAGTCAAATCTATTTCCAAAGTCTTAGAGCACTCTTACCTGTTTTTTTCTTTTGTTTCTTCTTTTCTTCAAAGATGTACTAATTCTGCTCAGTAGCTTGACATTGCTCTCGATAGCTTTGAGCGTTTCTGGTAACATCTCCATTTGTGCTATACAGTGGTGGTGTTCATCAATATCAATTGTAGTCATCTCAGGCAAAATGACATCTTGAAGAGAGTAAAAAAAATTACTTTTGTGCAGAAAAATAAATAATTATAACCATATAGGCTTATAATATTGGCTACCTATTCAATATTGTAGTATTGGGAAATATAAGTGTCTCATAATGATTTCTATTCTGAGGCTTTCTCTATGAAGAAATTTAAAAAGAGAGACTTGGAATAGAAGGCCGAACAGTAAGCCTTGGCCATGAAAATATGGTTAAAATTGGTTAAAAGGTGTCTAATTTGTTAACTTCAGGGATGGGGATATCTAAAATGTGAACATGTGCTTTAATATTGGGGATCTAAACCCCAATTAACTCCTTTGGTAAGTTTTCTAGTATTTTATAACACCTGTTACATGAGATTTCTTGTAACTAAATGAAATTTCTCTTTTTTGTATTCTTAGCTTATTCATTCTTTCATTCAACCAGTGTCTCCTCTGTCATGTACTGTTCTAGATCCTGCAGATACAGCATTGAATAAAACAAATTCCCTAATTTCATACTATGTACATTCTAGTGAAAGGACACAGACAAAAAATTTTTAAAAGACACATTAATTATAAAGTATGTCAGATGGTAAGAAATGCTATAGACAAAAATAAAGAAGAGTAAAGAATAATGGACAGTGCCAGTGGGTAGAGAATGTGGATGGTCAGGGAACACCTCATTTTAAAGAGAAATATAAGCAGAGAATGAGCCATGTGGCTACCTGATGGAAAATGTTCCAGGCAAGGGACTAGGAAGCATAAGGACACTGGGCAGGAGTATGCTGGCATGCTCGAAGAAAAGCAAGGAGGCCAGAATAGCTGGTACTAAGTGAGCGAGCTTATATTTTCCTTATTCTATTCTTCCTGGAACAGAGAGCACCTGTTCTCTAAATAACCACCTTAGTCTTTTCTTGTTTAGTCTTTTTCTAATCCTTCATAATTTGCTTATAATTCCATTCTCTAGCTTTTTCATTAACTTTAAATCACTTCTGGAAACTTACTCCATTCTTCCAACCAGGCCAGAATGTAGACAAGAGTCTTTTCTTTAATTTCAGCAGTCTTGGCACAAGTAACTATTTTCTCCAGCAAACTTGCTCTCTATTTCTTATGTTCTGTAAGGGATATTTTCCTTCCAGAGTGCACATTCTCTTCCATAGTATAGCAATTTATTATCCACTGCACATTCTGCATGATGTCACCCAACTGCATATTAAGGTCCTATAAGAATAAGAAGGGGGAATATATTAATAAATCCTCTGTTTGACAGTAAGCTTTGACCACCTTTCTTCCCAGAATGTCAGTGACAGTCACTATAGAGCTGTCTAATCAAAGGCCTGCCAATTCTAGTTTTTTGTTGTTGTTGTCTTTTGTTTGTTTTTGGCTGCGCAGCATGTGAGATCTTAGTTTCCTGACCAGGGATCAAATCCACACCCCCCTGCAGTGGAAGCATGGAGTCTTAACCAGTGGACCACCAGGGAAGTCCCCCAATTCCAGTTTTTCTCTGAGTCTCAGATTTTCCTCTTAAATTTTTTTTCTCTGCCTCCATCCTAGCATTGCTATGATATAATGAAAAGAATATTGGGTCTGAAACCATATCTGGATTCCAACTCTATCTCTCTCGTTAAAATGACTTTTAATAAATCACTTAACAATTCTGAGCTGCCCTGACTCATCTGTAAAATAATGGAGATGCTGAGTTTACAGCTGATGTGAGACGCGTAAGATGTGTGAAATGCCTTATAAACTGTGGCTGCTATAAAAAAACTAATTAATTACTAATTAATCAAAGGAAGTTACTTCTTTTTCTTTTTTTAATCAACACTTACACCTGGAAAGCAGCTATCAGACTATTCCACGACATGACTTCTACTTCATTATTTCCCCTCCTCAAGAATCTATCAGCAAATTCTCAGTGGGGGTAATTACTGCCTCATATGGGCATTTAGAAATTTGTGGGGACTTCCCTGGTGGCGCAGTGGTTAAGAATCTGCCTGCCAATGCAATGGACACGGGTTCCATCCCTGCTCAGGGAAGATCCCACATGCCGCGAAGCAAATAAGCCCATGCACCATAACTACTGAGACTGCGCTCTAGAGCCAGCGAGCCACAACTACAGAGCCCACACACTGCAACTACTGAAGCCCACATGCCTAGAGCACGTGCTCCGCAACAAGAGTGGCCACTGCAACGAGAAGCCCGCGCACTCCAACAAAGAGTAGCTCCCGCTCACCACAACTAGAGAAAGCCCGCACGCAGCAATGAAGACCCAACGCAGCCTAAATAAATAAATAACTTAAAAAAGAAATTTGTGGAAGCATTTTTCGTTGTAACAATGAATGGGAGGGAAGATTTATTGTATTTAGTAAAAGGTGCTAAGTGGTGCCAGCCCACCCAACAGTGCAATGGACAGTACACATGTTAAAGAATTGGCCCATCCTGCATAAATTTTGACTGTCCCATGGGATATTCACATAGGTTAAAAAAAATCTGTTTATAATTATCTGAGCCTAGAAACTTACTCTTTTTAAAGTATAAATGCAGAATAATTTTTTACGAAGTTTCATTGCTTGCTGAAATTTCCAGGAATACAAATATTTTGTAAATCAAAGGAAAATATTCTTTAGAATTTCTCCAATAAAATTTCACCATTCTGAAACACCATAGTACCAACTAGCAAGGCACTACTGCTAATAGTATGTAGTGCCAGTACAATAAACCTGCATTTGTATCAGCCTATATTTGTAGCTTTCATATTTATTTTAATTCTACATAAGGATGCAAGCCTCTATCTACTACTTTGTTACGTCTTCTAGTGAAGTTTGACCTAGAATTTACACATTGAAATGCATGTTATTATAAATTAGCACTTATATTTACCCTCACATATTAATTTTTTAAAGTATAAGTATAGATATTTTATCTATGAATTTCACTTCAGAGGAACAAAGGTATGTTAAAAATATTTTAAAAGGGAATGGTAAATCTGATAGATGGAGAATCACTGCTCCATCTTTTCCAAATTTATCAATTACTCGCTCAGTTTGGCTTCAGACAAACTGAACTCTCTCTACACTCCTTACAATAACATTAAGATTTGGATTTTGCAAGCCAAATCACCATGTCAAAAGAGTAATCAGGGCTTCCCTGGTGGCGCAGTGGTTGAGAGTCCGCCTGCCGATGCAGGGGACGCGGGTTCGTGCCCCGGTCCGGGAGGATCCCACATACTGCGGAGTGGCTGGGCCCGTGAGCCATGGCCGCTGAGCCTGTGCGTCTGGAGCCTGTGCTCCACAATGGGAGAGGCCACAACAGTGAGAGGCCCGCGTACCGCAAAAAAAAAAAAAAAAAAAAAAGAGTAATCAAATGTTAGGTGCTGGAAATACTGCAATCAGAAATAGGTAATGCAGTTGCAGCAAATTGTCGGAAATACAAGAGAGCAGAGACAAAGTTTGATAAGCCGTGATGAAGAATAACATTACAAACTAACACACAGCATGGTGATTAAAGAAAAAGTATCACCAACTTCTCATAAATTCTCCCAGAAAATTGAAGAGAAAGGAACCTTTCTCAACTCATTCTTTGTGGTCAGAATTACCCTCATACCAAAGTCAGATAGATACTGCAAAACAGAAAAAACAAAAAAACTACAGACCAACATCTCTAAACATTGTCGCAAAAATCCTCAACAAAATACTAGCAAACAGAATTAAACAGCACATTAATAGAATTATATACCATGACGACGTGGGGTTTATTCCAGGGATGCAAAAATGGTTCAACATGTGAAAATAAATGAAAGAAATATACCAAATTTACAAAATGAAGGGGAAAAAATCATATGATCATCTCAATTGGGAAAAAATCATATGATCATCTCAATTGATGCAGAATAAGCATGTGACAAAATTCAACACCCTTTCATGATGAAAACTTCAACAAAGCAGGTATAGAGGGAACATACCTCAAAATAATAAATGCCATATATGACAAGCCCACAGCTAACATCATACTGAAAAGTGAAAATCTGAAAATTATTCCTCTAAGATTAGGAACAAGGCAAGGATGCCCACTCTTACCAGTTCTATTTGACATATTACTGGAAGTCCTAGCCAGAGTAATTAGGCAAGAAGAAAGAAATAGGGACTTCCCTGGTGGTGCAGTGGTTAAGAATCCACCTGCCAATGCAGGGGACACGGGTTCAATCCCTGGTCTGGGAAGATCCCACATGTTGTGGGGCAACCAAGCCTGTGTACCACAATTACTAAGCCTGTGCTCTAGAACCTGTGAGCCACAGCTACTGAACCTGCGTGCCACAACTACTGGAGCCTGCATGCCACAACTACTGAAGCCCGTGCACCTAAAGCCTGTGCTCCACAACAAGAGAAGCCTGCGCACAGCAACGAAGAGTAGCCCCCACTCACTGCAACTAGAGAAAGCCCACCCGCAGCAGCAAAGACTCAATGCAGCCAAAAATAAATAAATATTTTAAAAAAGAAAAAGAAATAAAAGACATCCATATTGAAAAGGAGGAAATATTATATTTGTTTGCAGATGATATAATCTTATATATAGAAAACTCTAAAGATCCCATCAAAAGGGACTTCCCTTGTGGCGCAGTGGTTAAGAATGCACCTGCCAATGCAGGGGGCATGGGTTCGATCCCTGGTCCAGGAAGAGTCCACATGCCATGGAGCAATTAAGCCCGTGCACCACAACTACTGAGGCTGTGCTCTAGAACCCACAAGCCACAACTACTGGGCCCATGTGCCACAACTACTGAAGCTTGCATGCCTAGAACCCATGCTCCACAAAAGAGAAGTCACCGCAATGAGAAGCCCACTGTAACGAAGAGTAGCCCCTGCTCGCCACAACTAGAGAAACCCTGTGCGCAGCAACGAAGACCCAACACAGCCAAAAAAAAAGTTTCCATCAAAAAACAACAGCAACAACAACAAAAACCAAACCTGTTAGAATAAATGAATTCATGAAAGTTGCAGGATACAAAATCATACACAAAAATGTTTAGTTTTCTATATACTAATAATGAACTATCAGAAAGAGAAATTAAGAAAGTAATCCCATTTACAACTTCATCAAAAAGAATAAAATACCTGAGACTAAATTTAACCAAGGAGGTGAAAGACGTGTATATTGGAAACTACAAGACATTAATGAAAGAAATTGAAGAAGACACACATGGAAAAGTATTTCATGCTCATACACTGTGAGAATTAATATTGTTAAAATATCTATACTACCCAAAGCAACCTACAGATTGAATACAATCCTTTTCAAAATTCCAATGACATCAGAAATAGAACAAAAAAATCCTAAAAATAGAAGAAAAAATCCTGAAATTTTTTACAGAAATAGAACAAAAAATCCTAAAATTTGATTCTTTTGGAATCATAAAAGACTCTGAAGAGCTAAAGCCATATTGAGATAAAAGACAAAAGCTGGAGGCATCAAGCTCCCTGATTTCAAACAATATTACAAAGCTATAGAAATTAAAACAGTATGATATCAGCATAAAAATAAACACATACACCAATGGAACAGAAAAGAGAACCTGGAAATAAACCCACACACACATATCATCAGTTTATGACAAAGGAACCAAGAAGGGCTTCCCTGGTGGTGCAGTGGTTAAGAATCTGCCTGCCAATGCAGGGAACATGGGATCGAGCTCTGGTCCGGGATGATCCCACATGCCGTGGAGCAACTAAACCCATGCACCACAGCTACTGAACCTGTGCTCTAGAGCCCGCAAGCCACAACTACTGAGCCCGTGAGCCACAATTACTGAAGCCCATGTGCCTAGAGCCCGTGCTCTGCCACAAGAGAATCCACCACAATGAGAAACCCGTGCACCGCAACGAAGAGTAGCCCCCACTCACTGCAACTAGAGAAAAGCCCGCGTGCAGCAACAAAGACCTAAGGCAGCCAAAATTATAAATAAATAAATTTTTTAAAAAAAGGAACCAAGAATATACAGTGGAGAAAGGAAAGTCTTTTCAATATATGGTGCTGGGAAAATTGGACAGCCACATGCAAAAGAGTGACACTGGATTTCTATCTTATACCGTACATAAAAATTAACTCCAAATGGATGAAAGACTTGAATGTAAGACCTGGAACTATAAAAATTCCAGAAGAAAACATAGGTAATAATCTCCTTGACATTGCTCTTGGTGATAATTTTTTGGATTTGACACCAATAG